GAATTTATAAATTCTTATTTCTTATGAATGAGTGCATTAGGATGACAAAGCAAAATGTTCCTTGTCAAGTGCAGATGCCTCTCTCTCGGTAATATATATTTTCGTTTGCGTGCTTGTAACTTTCTGAGAGAAGAAAGAAAAATGCACACGACTTTTACAAACCTCAGATCCGTCGGGACTTCAGAACTCAAGGAAAAAAAAAGTAGAGCATATTCAAGAGCGAGCACTTCGAAAAGTAAAAGTACGCGCTTCTATTGAGAGATGTTTATTAAATAGACCTGTGCGTTTTCTAAAGATTTTCGTTTTTGTTCGAAGTTAAAGTTTTAATCTTCAAGAAACAAAGATGAATGGAATCTTATATCCATTACAGCCAAGACGCAGCTTTCGTTTATTTAATCGTATGCTCGGATCATGCGTTTCGCGAAGCATATAATAAAATTACGGCTTTTGCTCACTTTCTCGAGACAAACTTGGCTTTGTTCGAAGTCGACGACGATCTTTTGTGCGTCGACATTTATACGCATCAAATGGAGAAACAAACGAGGAGCCAATGATGACATCGTCATTAAATGCCGTTGCCAAATTGAAATACTGGATTAGTCCTCGCGTTGGCGATGACAGAAAATTGAGTGTAACGCGATCGGGGGATTGATCGCGTGTCCGACCGAACGCTATTTCTGCATTTGTAATTGAGTAGACGACAGAGACAGCAGATTAATCGTGAATCTTAATCGCCCGGAGAATCGCAAAGATGGAAGCGTGTCGCTGTTGCACAATGTTGTGCGCTCTATCTTAGGTATGCGGTTGATTAAAATAACAAAGATGAGTTGAATCAATTTATTTTAAGCTCTCGAGATGTTTACGGTAACGCCCTCGCTATTTTATTCATATTATCGAGAACTAGTAATTTAATCAGGGACGATTATAGCACATCGATAAAAATATGACGTAACTATTGACGTTTCATCCATTTAGACACTTTGATAGATCATTCAAATGTCAAAATTGAAGTGGACTCAAGTTTGAATATTCATTTTATTAATATCTATCATCTATTTTAAATGAATGTTAAAAAAATGATCTATTTTAGTGAAATTTAAAAAAATAATCTATTTTAAATAAAATTAAAATTAAGAGAGATAATAAAAATGGTTAAATATATCCTTGCGTTGATATTTGATTTAAATGAATTACCTTTTAAAATTCGATTTAAACTTACGATAAATAGTTCAAGTGGCAATGTATGGATCGATATAAGATGCCGTTCATCTCGAATGAGTAAAAATGGCGAGGACCGCTTTTCTTCGCGGAAATACAGGTTGCGGTTATAACTGGGCAATATCATCTACAAATTTAATGAAACTTTCATCCGCGAGATGCGGATGCAAGGATGGAAAGGTTAGGCGTACAGCAATCGACCTGACCTATCTCCGATGCAATTAGTTCAACAGACAGGTTTGTTGACGCGACTCCCGCGCGGGTTTCGTAATCAAGTTTCTTCCAGTGATAACAAAACATTTTCTATCGAGAAATTGATCTAGCAATAGTTATCGTATTATTTTCTCTCGCCGTTCGAATAAATAGATATATCGGAAATGCATTTGACAAATTAATCTAATTTTTACAAATTTATTCTAGAATTAAACAATAGGAAATACATTAATGTTATATGTGAAAAAAATTTATAATTTTTTGATAGAACTTTATTTTGTTTATAGAAAATGGATACTGAATTTAATTGTTTTCAAATGTTAATTAAGGGAGAAAGAATTTTAATTGAAATTGTGTTTATCTTAAAATTGTATTTAATTATTATTAAGATTTAATTAAGATTAAACATATAGAAAAATTTCGCTTAAACTATTAAATGAAAAAATTACTATTTATTATTGTATTAATTAATATTAATCTCGAATTAATCTTTAGACGCAAAAATATTTTAACACACGTATTATATTTAATACTTTTTTTTAAATGCTGTTGTAATTAATTTTTTTTATGTTAACTTAGTTTTGTATAAATTCTAGATAAAGAAGGAAAATTTAATTCTAGATGAAAAAGACAAAGAAACTTTTTAATTTCATAGGGGATTTACTGTAATAGAAGGGAGAGATGTAGCCAATATGACAAGTGTCCTTGTAAAATCAAACTTTTAATAAGCGGATGCCGTCGTTATGTCCGAAAACGACGCCAATTAGTGTGGAAATATATCTACAAGAATCCGGAGATTTCGTACAATCGAAAGGGCACGTCATTGATGGCGTCTGTAAGTGACGGAACGTCAAGCTGCTATAATTGGAGCGAATTCCTTGAGTGCCCCGTTCGCTTGTTGTTCCAACCGAAATAATTCTGTTTAAGGCTTGTACCTGGCACGCGATTTCTAGCAATTGCTTGCCGTTAATTACTGCTTGCAGCAATGTGGAGTCAATACGTGCGGATTAGTCAATTATTGAATTCGCTGCGAACTTTCTCTAAACTGTTTCAAACAATTATTGTCAGTTTAAATAATGCTTGACGATCTCATTAATTCCTAAATGTGCATGTGTTAGCAGTATCAGTGTGACTTGAATTTTTTCCGAGGTTAATGCTTTCCCAAAATGAAAAAATTAATGAGATATTCTTAGGAATATTTCTTAGCAGCAAAAATTCAATTTTTTTATTACATTCACATACACATACATACGCGTTTAATCTCTTTAATAAATTAAAAGATTTAAATTAATATGCAAATTAATGTGATCAAAATATGTATTCGATGATTTATTAATGAGAAGCATAAAATTACTTGTTTATTATAATTTATGATGAAACTCGCATTTTGCTAGTATTTACGTAAATTTAGTCATTATTACGTCATTTAGAATTGATATATTATCGTAATAATGAAAATTAATATTAAATTGTTCTGTGTCATAATTTTATCCTCTTTTTCAATTTCAGCGGCAAATTTTCATTTCTTCAGCGTCCACTCGCAAAAATATAAACTCGCGTCTCTAGATTATCTTAGCGTAATTGCCATTTAACGCTCCAATTCGCGCAACGAAACCGCAGCAGCCCGGTGCGAAAGACGATTATCTCGAAAATGGCGCTAATTCTTCGGGCCGAGCGCGGTTCGTACGTGGCGTTAGTAATCTTCATTAACCGTTCCAGAAAGAAACGCGGTAATTAATGTCGCAGGATAACTCGAAATAATTTACGCGTCACGACCAAGCGACGTTCAGTCACTAAAACGGTCGCTAAAACGCTTTTGCGCACACGAAAGTCACGCTACATTCGCACCTTTGGCATGCGATTTAATCTTTAGTCAGTCAACCGATTGATTTGCAAAATATAATTCGCCAGCATGGGTTCCCAACCTCGTTTCACTTCTTGTTATGTCTTTTTTAAAGATTGGAATAGTTAGGATGAGGATAGAATTGGTTTCGCGAATAATCTCGCGAATAATCTCGCGAAAATGAATCAAAAGCAACGGGAAATTAATTGAGAAATATATTACATTATTCGTAAGACGTTCTGGGCATTGAAATAAAATCTAATTACAGACGTATTTTGCATATCTCAAAATTCAAAACAATGATACAATTATATGTGCCATTCGAACTGGCAATTTCAAAAATATATTGTCAGTCGTAAGGAATTTCAAATTATTTGTAATAATCTTTAGTTTCATGAAATTCATGTATTATTTTTGTAACATAATATATCTCGATATGTTATGTTTATTTTATCATATAATAATTTATTTTATCATCTAAATATCCTCTAATAATAATTTATTTTATCACCTAAACTATCTCTTTGTGTGCAAAATTCGTCGGATTCAGAAAATTCATACGTTTCTCGTTGGGTGGTCCGAATCATTACGCATTTTCATATTTCCTACACTCTCTCGTATTCCAGAGTGAATAGATCTGTTGGATTCTGTGGTATGTGAATGTTCGCGACGAATTCATGCGTATGACGGTCGAGCGAATTTCAAGCCCGAGGATCGTTCCCACTGCACTATCGTTGCGGTTTCGAAATCGGATTTTCACTTTGAAAATCATCGGATTACGACGGATTCACGTGCATAATATAATACGCGGATCTTTAATTCTCTTTCATGCAATAAAGTTTTGATAGGAAAATGCTAAAAGATCCAATTTTTATAAAAAATATATACGTAGCTGTTTTAAAGAGAGCACAGCCAATTACATGATAAAGGCAATTTGTATATTATTGCGAGAATAAACAATCGAAATGTGAAGATTATTTTCTATTATGTTTCCTTTCAATAAATATTATTTTCTTAATATTATTCAAAACGGAATATTTTATTACAAACTTGTAAACAAGAAATACTATATTTTAACGAATCTTTTTACACTATCGTTTAATCCAATTAGGTTTTCCGTATCATGTGCAACGAAATATAGAAACGAATGGAAATTCGAAAAAGGAGAAATCGTGATACACTCAACGTTGGGAACGATCCTCCATGCGCACGTACGCGATAAGAGTCGCCAATTGGATCGAATTTTGCAAGAAGAAGTCAATTGAATATATTGGTCTCTTTCTGTAAAGTATAATCTAATTGACGATCTCGGTACAAAAATCAAGCAAGCCCATCTCTTTCGACGAATAAATAGCATTTATTATTCATATTTGCAAGAATCTAGGTAATAATTTGACGCATAATAATGCGTCATAATTTTACGGATCAATTTTTACCAGAAAAATTTAATTTTTAGTTAATTATGTGATAGTTACGTAAAATATCCTTACAATAATAAGGACAAGAACAACATGTTGGATGATGGATATTAAAAAATATTTATCGGTAGCTATTTTATTCGAAGTAGCGGGCTTGTTCGATTCTACATTTTCATGCTTCCAATTACTGAAACGCATGTCGAGAGACGCGGGGAATGTATGTTATAAAGTTACACGTACATAACACCGATAGAAAGAAATAAAAGAAGAAACTAAGGGAGATGAAAGAGAAAAAAAGGAGAACTCACCCAGTGTCGGGGTTGTGTAGTCCCAGCTCTCAGCGTCGTTCTTGTAGACGTTGAGCTTTGTCGGCTGGAAAAGATAAGAAAACGATATTTAAATAATACGGTCTGAAACATCACAGTGAATTGACGCGCCAATTGTTTTTCTTTCTGCACGTTAGAGAAGAGAAATCGGAGAATAATGTTCTCGGACTCGAAACGTACAAGTGTCAAGAAAACGAAAATACGAGATAAGAAGATAAATTCCAATTTAATTTTGCTCAATGGAATATCGATATATTTTTTCTGGAAAGGATAATTTTTTATATTAATTGATTTTTGAGAACTTTACTCAAACATCATGTTACAAATAGATAGGTATCTAGGCGGGCGTACAACGTTATCGAGATTTTGATATTGAGTTTCTAGTGAATGCGGTTGAATGAGAAATAACTAGTTACTCAATATCTCAATTTTCAAAGGTACGGTATAGCCACATCCTCGTCGATTACAACAACGAATAATCCGCGCTTGTTTCTCAGTCATCTAATGAATACTTTGGCAAATCTCTCGGGCAGGCAAGACTAATTCGATTAGCTTAAGTGACGTAAATCCCCAGGTGTTAAATAGAGAGCAACTCGCTCTGCAAAGCCTCCAATGATTCGCCGTGAAACTCGCGTACTCGCGTTTATTAAAACTAGCGTACAAGCATAAACGATCGATCATTTCGTTAAAAATGTCTAGAAAAAAAATTACATAATTGCACGATACACATTTGAGAATAGCTCATAATGCCGATCCGTTATACACGTATACGTAACTACGGCAGCACTTCTGGAGCGCGTTCCACGGCCGTAAAAACGTCACGCTTCAAGCTGAATAACCGCTTCAGTATATCTCGCTGTCGTCTCCCATAATAATAATAATTCTACGAGTAAAACCATGCAGGAAAAGTAAAGTAGCGTAGACAGGAGAGATACGGCGATCCGGCTTAGCTGCGTTTACTAACCGCGCCGAGCGGAAAAAGTTAACGCCCGCCTGCAATAAGTCGTCGCATTCCACCTTGTTGCAAGCAGGATCGACTTTATGCATTTGCGTACCTTAGCTTTATACCTAAGCTTCGCAATTACATTTCTTATGGTCATGTAAGACAATTTCAAGGTGATAATGCAGCATTATTTTAAGAAAGGTTACATTACACAAGATATCTCTGTCTTTTGATCAGTACATTCGTTTTCTTATTTTTAATCGTAGCTTAATCGAACAAGCTTCAAATATTAACAAAATAATCAGATGTTCAATAATATCCATGTTAGGTATTTGAATATTATTTCTTAGATATTTGAATGAATATTATTTTTTAGATATTTGAATTGATATTTATTTTTTTTTGAATGAATTTTATGTACCTTTTTAAGTTTAACATAAGTTGCACATTACTTAGTTCTTAAATACTTTCTCTTCTTTCGTTTTTTAAATTTGAAACAATTCAGAAGAATTGGTGTCAAGTGCAGACTTAGATAAAAACTGGGAAAGCAGAAAAAACTGTATGTGTATGTGTATGTATATAGTCGAAAATAAACTCGCTTGCGAAAGATTTCGGCAAAGACTCATCGCAAAAAGAACGTTTCACGTTTTCATGTATAATAATAATAATTTTTATGTATAATTAATGCAGATTGTATTAATTCTAATGTAAATTTAAGAAAACAATTTACTATATTATTTAAAAACTTTCAAATATTAAATCTTAAATCTATTATTAAATATTAAATATTAAATATTAAATATTAAATATTAAATAATATTAAATTATCAAATATTAAATCTATTATTTAATCTTAAATTAAAAATTAAATCTCTCTTGCAAAGAATTTTATTATCTTTTTAGAATTCTCATTTTTAAATAGTTTTGTTTTAAAATTATAAATGTTTTAAAATTAGATTATCTTGTTTTTAATAATTTTTTATCGCAGAAATATTTTTACTTCTTTGCAATTTACAGAAAGAAAGAGAGAAAAGTTGCACATATGTTCAGTCAAACAATAGATAGCATATGATACATGATAATTTTTTATTTAAATATATAAATGTCAATATGTAATATATGTATTATTAGTAGATTAAAAGATTGTGATTAATTATTTTAACTTTTACGTTATTAATATTAATTGATGTGGATTCTTCCATGGGATATATGTATATCGTTTAAATTCAAGGAAGAAACCATTTGCACGTACAAGGATATCCGAAGGCCTGCGTGAGCAACATATTTTCAAAGCTCTCCTTTATGGCGCTGAAATTTTCAGAAGCTTAGATTGCTAACTTAAGCTATTGAAGTCGCTTTGAAGTTGGTAACGGGAATTATTCAACAGGATACAACGGTGATGTAGCTACTACCACCACTATCTTTTGGGTTTGATCATTTCCTCTATGTGCATGCGATGCAGAAGACTGGCTTGCATCCTCTCGCCGTCCGGAAGAGCAAAATTAGTTCCTCTTTATTGCACCGAGGTGAGCTAACGCCGTTTACTTCGCTTAGGTATTAATCGTCCTGGCGTTAATCTACGTAGAAAGTAACTTCGTACCTCATTGCGTCACTTGTAAATAGCTGCATGAAATTGTCCAAGCGACTATAAGATTTTAATGCTTGCAGCGTTAATTCCTACGGACGCTCGTTACAAATTTTATGCAAAATATTTCTCTGAAGAAATAATTTTTATAATAAGTATATTTCACTCTAAAAACAATGTTACTTATGAAAGTTTTTTAATGGAAAGGATCATATAAAATTTTATTTATCTATTTTTCCTTAAGAAAAACGAAAAAATTTCTTTCTGGAAAAAGCTTTTTACCGAGTGGTTCGAAGAAAGAAAAATTAAGTTTTCTTAGAAAACATTCCATAAATAAAATCATTTTACATTTTATTAAATATACGTTACTGCATAATTTTATGCAATATTAAAATCTCTTGCATTTTTCTGCTCTCATATTCTTCTAGCTGCGGTGTTCATAATTCAGGAGAGGAATTGAACTCCTCTCGCGAGTATGCGGGAGCAAATGAGGCAGGCTTCTGCCACAATTGCAACTTCGCCGGGGAAATTATTAAAGTCGAAAGATAAGGCGGCGCTATGTAGTAGCGTAGTTGAATAATTCAAGCGACTCGAAAACGCTAATTTCGCCGGCAGGAGAGAAGAGGCGCTCGTCTCGTCGGAGCATCTCATTTCGTCCGACGACGGACGAGCCTCTTCTTATTGGATTTCAGACGTTGAGTTAAGCATTCAGAACTGCGGGCAGATTCTGCCGGCGCATTAGTGCAGCTAGGGCCGATTTAGAAGATGGCTTTGGAAGGTCGCCGCTGCAACAGGCCGCTCGCATTCCGAATGCACCGCGAGAAATAGTAACTCCAGGAGTTCTCCCTCCGTACAAATTATATCGGAATGAAAACAATAATAATCGTAATGGGAATAATATGGAAATGTATGAAAATGAATGACACGGTGGTATTTATGTAGGATTACTTTTCTTAAACTTTGAAAGCTTCGAAATATACTAGTTAATATATTACTTTTGTTTCGAGCTTTGCATAACTTTCTATCGTCCTTGCAGCGTCCTTATTTGAGATCGGGGAATGAGAAAATGTAAAACTGTAACTAGTTGTAGGTTGCGGTGACGCGAAAAAGCTTTTTCGAATCGAGGGATATATCTCCCCTGCGAATCTATATAAGGTACCGTGTACTGAGTTATTTAGCTGACCTGTATACAGGGTATTCCACAGAGTGCCTATTAATCTTAATGATAGCTTTGTTAATCAATACATGTCGACAAAATGTATTTGTGCGCTAACAATTTTCAAGTTGCACCACAAGTGGTAATTTAAAAAATTAAACTAACAACATGGATTGCAATTTAACCAATTTTATCTTAATATACGTTTAAATAAGGAAACTATATTGTTCGTGATTATAATTTAAAATTTCAAGAGATTTGATTTTGGATATGAAACTGCAAAATTCTTCGTTCTAAACTTCTATCTTGAAAAGATGTAGGACAGCTTATTTTATTAAACTGTGAGATATATTACTTAAAGGATTTAAAATTTCAACTTGGTAACACTGCAAAAAATATCTATCCGAGAAATAGTGGCATATATAAGAGCTAAGCATTATAAGATTAAGTAGGAAAAATTGTATAAGCTGATGGAAGCGAATATAAATTGTATCAGAATTTTAATATAATTTTTAAAAGAAGCAAAGTCGCACAGAATTTAAAAAAATTATTATTATTATTGACAGAGACAGAGAAAATTTTGTATTTTTAATTATATACGTGGCGTGTCATAACATTTGATAGCGTTGTGGAGTAAATAATAATAAATTTTTTTAATTAAACATTTTTTTTCTCTTTCTTGCTGGTAGAAATTCTTTTAACTTAAAATCGTCGAACAATGCATTCCAAAATCTGGCAAGTTTTCCTTGCTGCAACTTATGGAATGACGCCATTGACCATATTCATACCGCGGAACGGAAAACGTGAAAAGCATGGGCCATTGTTTCGCACTGAACGTCGCTCTCATAACGAACCGACTACTTATTGATCTGCGAATCAGACGGCGCGTTACTGATTTATAATCGGCAAAAGCAAAAATGGATCGCTTCGATACTTCCGCACTGCATGTATCATAACTGTTTTTAATTCCTTTTTAACAAAATATTTATGGTGAAAATATAAAAAGAATAAAATCCTTTGAAAAAAGAACCATAAAATTTTGATAAAAATATTAAAAATTTCTACGATGTTTGATGAAAAAATGTTTATGATGGAAAATATTAATTTCGCCTGGAAACATTCATAATGTAACGAAGAATAAAGAAAACTAAAAGAGATTCTAGATGAAAATATCAGGAAAATGTCTATTTTTAGAATCTTGGAAATCTTAGAAATATCACAAAGAAAATATCACAAGGAAATCTATTCAGAATATCTCTTGGGAATATCCAACTATAGCATATTGCATATATGGAACGTATGCATATCAAGTAAAAAGAACGCAATATACACATGCACACATCTTGCTTTATAATTTGATGA